AAACTATTCTCAGGCTCGGAATCCCTAAAACCTCCATTGCGCCAACTTCCTATATTAAGCGCCGAAACGCTCCCGGGTCATCCAAAACACGATCCGAACGTACGCCCAAGTCTAAAATCACCATACGAACCTATTGGGATCGTCAAATCCCGGTTCCGAGGCCTTTTACTAACAATGTTGACCCAAGTCAAACTTAACCCTTTTAAGCTAATATTAAGGAACTAAGTATTCGGATTTCAACCCGAATCCTTCCAAACCCGAACTAACCATCCCCGCGAGTCATAAAATAGTAAAGGCACATACAGGGAGTCTTATTCAGGGGAACGAGGATCTAGAAAGCAAAATAATCGGTCGGGTCGTTACACTAAGGATTGAAGCACCTGTGTATGAACTTCGAGCATAATAGTATATTATGCTGGAAGTTCACATGTAAAAAATTCAAACTCCAGTATGTTATGCTGGAATATTTTTCGGATTTTGAACCGTATTTTCGTTCAGATTTATCTTACATGAAAAGTGGCTAAATTTTGATTATTTTTAAAATTGTGACTATTTTTCAATTACCACTTGTAAATCTTGCTATTTTTGAATTTCTCATCAGTTTCCCCTTATTATGCCGTTAGTGATGGGGTATACTTCTACACCTTAGTTATCTAGGGCTTAATTATTAATAGTGGGCACTATGCTTGCAAAAAGTTAAGTGTTTACACCAATGACCAAATTAATCAATAAATGCAATACAATGTTTTTTATTTATTCACTTACCAATAGTTGATTGATACGTTTTCTCACTCAATTTTTAATACTGATGTTAAATTTCGTAATTTAATTTGGTGTACACATGGAAGTGAATATATAAGGGTAAGCATTTAGCCTAAGAGCTACTTGTATCATAATCCATATATAATTAAATTAAATTACAACCGTTAGCTTTGTCTTAAGTTCGAAAAGAGAATGAAGAGCATTCAGATGTGGTTACGAAATAGTTATACGACCATCACAATAAAACTAATAGTTTAATTTTTCTTTGAGGAATAAAACTAATTTTTCGACTGATGTAAGTTGTTAATATAAAATTTAATTTTTGTGATTGACGGTCATAGAAAAAATTTATTTATGTATTTTATGGGGTCGAACTGTGAAATCAGCAATTGATGGATAAACTGCCTATATCATACCCCTAGGAGTGCGGTCTTCTCCAGATACTACATTAATGAAGGATGCTTCATGCACCAGCTACCTTTTTTTTTTCCATTGAAGAAGCATGGAGAAAATGAGAAAAATGTCCTCGTAGACTGAATGTGTCTGGCTACGCAAAGTAAACAGTGAATGTACTGGCTATTTATGTAAGGATAGAAATCCAAAATAGCACCTATGGGTGCAAGAACTAGAGAAAAGGTAATGCTACTCTAAATGATTGCTCTCAATTCTTGATGTCCAATATGTTTACGATAGTGTTAAAATACTCCCAAAACCCTAAGGTGTATTTAAATATTGGCCACTTTAAATAAAAGAAGGGATAAACTCTTAATAGAAAGAATTTTATCTTTTAATGAGTTATACACAATACAAATACGAATTAGTCTAAATCATATAGGTTTCGAATAAACGGATGTTTACACCAACATAAAAGAATAATACAAACAACAGTGTGATTGTTTTAATTAGCTCCACCCTTTATTTGTAGCATTATAATATTAGAATGAGATCTTTACACAATAGCCGATTGAATTTACTGTTTACATTTTTAATCAGTATACATAGATTATATATTGATTATACACAGTTATATATATATTATACATAAATCATATATATATTATACCTCCGTCAAACTAGTTTTAGTTTGAGCTATTGGATGAGCAACTGTTTAAGTTAATCCTTCAAGCTTGTGATAAAATTTGGGGCACTAGAAAATTGTATAGACATTAATGGGCAGTATTATTCCACTTCTGTCATTCTAAAGGAAAAAAAAAAGTTTAAGTTGTACATATTCTCAGGGTAAATTTTTATTTACATCATCGGCTACTTTTAAGTTATACCTTAAAAGTAGTTGAGCATAGGTAAAAAATACTTGGTGATTTCTTCCATCTAGGGGTGTATAAACCGAATCGGAAAATCGCAGCAAACCGAAAAGTCAAACCAAACCGATTAAAAAAACCGATTAGGTTTTGTTTGATTTAGTTTGGTATTGAGTAAAAAAATCCGAACCAAACCGACATATAAATATATAGTTTTTATATATACTTTTATTACTTTTCATATAATTTTCTTTAAAAAATATTTAGAAATATATGCGATTCTTATCCAGGAGCTACAATGCACTACTAGGACCACAAGTGAGATTACAGGAGGCAAATTTGGTGTGGAACAGAGTGATGCAACCTAAGCACAGATTTTGTGTTTGGTTAGCTAACCAAGACAGGTTACTAACCAAATAAAGAATGACCCGATTGCATATCCCAGTGGAGGATCAAACATGTAAACTATGTGATCAAGGGAGATTGGAGACTCATAAGCACCTATTTGTAGATTGTACATGGGCTGGAGCAGTTCGAGAAGGACTGTCCAATTGGATGGGGATCAAGTTGCCTCAGATGAATAATCAGCAAAGTATCCAGTGGATTAAAAGCAAGTTATAGTATGGGGAGCCATGATTTATCAGATCTGGCAAACACGAAATTGGAAGATCTTTAGGAATATTGATGTACATTCAAATCGTATAATAGCATAGATACAAAAGGAAATAAGAATTAGAGTAGAAGATATACAACATAGGAGAAGAGCTAATAGTTGCCAGAGATAAGAATTTATAATTAGTATTTGACTGCCCGAGGCTTAGCGAGATATAGCGCCCTTCCCAGAAGGTGGTTATATTCCTAAGTGCTCTCTAGGTGTATTGGAAAGTTGGTTGTTAATGGTAATTTCACAGTTATTGCCAAAAAAATATTTACGATTCTCTTATGCGATGTAATATTTAGTTAAATATGAAGCGCTCTGTTTTTATTAACTTTAAATAATGGATTGTATGATAACTTTCTTATCAAGTGTTAGTGAAATGCGTCAATCTTTTTGTTCTTCCATATTCATATGTCAAGATCTATTAAATTCTTATATCTTTTTCGAATTTGAAATGGTATTTCGATAATTTAAAATTAAATAGTACATATCATTATATAGGTATCATATTAATTTTATGTTTAATTATTAAATTCAGTTAACCTTGATAATATACATCAACGAAAAATTATTGACAAACAACTAAAAAATAACTATCATATGTTACTAAGAAAATTATCCCATAAGAATATATTAATAGATCATATGTTTGTCAATTTTTTTAATTTTTACTAAAGATATAGTTACTTATCAAAAATTTAATAACGTAAGATTGAAATAATACTCATGTAACAACAAAACTCGAAAAACTCGACAAAACCGAATCAATTCAAAACCGATATAGTTGGTTTGGTTTGAATTTGATAAAAATCGAATCAACCCGGTCAATGTACACCCATAGTTACTTCCATTCAAACATTGGTGGATAGAGTTACCTGGTACATATTACTAGTGAAAGATGACAGTTATCCCGTAAAATTAGTCGAGGCGTGCGCAAACTGGTTCGGACACTACGGTTATAAAAAAAAGTTATACCTTCATTTCACTTTTTCTATTTTCTTATTTTTTGGATTAAATTATTTGAGATATTAATTTTTTTTTCTGGCCATATATATATATATATATATATATATATACGAAGAAGACAAAAAGAGTATACACAATTCAAAAAACTCGAAAAACAATTCAAAATCGAACCAATTCAAAACCGATATAGTTGGTTTGGTTTGGTTTGATTTTGATAAAAACTGAACCAACCCGGTCCATGTACACCCCTAGTTACATCCATTCAAGCTTTGGTGGATAGAGTTACCTAGTATATGTTGCTAGTGAAAGATGACAGGTATCCCCGTGGAATTAGTCGAGGCGTGCACAAACTAGCTCGAACACCACGGTTATAAAAAAAAAGTTATACNAAGAAGGCAAAAAGAGCATACACAATTCAAAAAACTCGACAAAACCGATATAGTTGGTTTGGTTGGGTTTTGATCAAAATCGAACCAACCCGGTCCATGTACACCCCTAGTTACATCCATTAAAGCTTTAGTGGATAGAGTTACCTGGTACATGTTACTAGTGAAAGATGATAGGTATCCCCGTGGAATTAGTCGAGGCGTGCACAAACTGACTCGGACACCACGATTATAAAAAAAAAGTTATACCTTCATTTACCTTTTTCTATTTTCTTTTTTTTAATTAAATTATTTAAGATATTAATTTTTTTCTCTCCCCCCCCCATATATATATATATATATATATATATATATATATACAATTCAAAATACTTGATAAAACCGAACCAATTCAAAACCGATATAGTTGGTTTGGTTTGGTTTTGATAAAAACCGAACCAACCCGGTCCATGTACACCCCTAGTTATATCCATTCAAGCTTTGGCGGATAGAGTTACCTGGTACATGTTGCTAGTAAAAGATAACAGTTATCCCGTGGAATTAGTCGAGGCGTGCGCAAACTGGTTCGGACACCACGGTTATAAAAAAAAAAGGTTATACCTTCATTAACCTTTTTCTATTTTCTTTTTTTTTTTGATTAAATTATTTGAGATATTAATTTTTTTCTGGAATATATATATATATATGACAAAAAGAGCATACACAAATTGCAAGAAGTTGCAAAAATATCATATCCCTGCTATCACCAACTAGCCATAGAACTTCAGGGTTTTAGCAGAGGTTTTTGTTTTTGTGAAACTTCACTCAGTTCAACTTCTTCCATTTCCCTTCCATTTTACCTTATCTTCTTTCTCTTCTCCTTAAAACCCCCTACCC